AATGGATGTACATTGGACCGATTCAGGGTCTCCCAAATCCATCCAATTTGAGACGAATTGGACGGTACTTGGATGGTCTCGCCTCCAGACCTTGTCCAGAGAGTTCCATCAGGGTTCAGGACAACGAGGACAATAATAATGCCCATAGCTCTGACAGTGACTGGAGCAATGAGGATGTCACCACTAGAGATGAAGCTAGTGATATTGATGAAGATGATGGTAGTGGTGAAATCGGTGAAACTGGTGAATTTGGTGTAAACAGTGATGAAGAGGACTTCGTGCCCAGGGATGATAATGATGACAATGATGAACTAGATGATACGCCAGGCAACTTCAATTTCAACCAAGCATCACTGGATCAACCACTTATGATCAACAGCAACCGATCAGTTAGAGAAGCTCTTCTATTGGATTTAGCATTGATGGTTAGACACAAATGGACATACGAAAGCTTGCTGGATCATTTCAAAGCCAAAAATGTCTTGTTTGGACAGAAGTATTTTCCAACTTCTAAAACTGAGCTATGGAGGATGCTTGGAAGAAATAAAGCAGGAATTGTTACACATGCTTATCATGATTGTGGGTTTTACTTAGGCAGAAAGAAGAGCCTTCCTGGTCATGTATTTTGTGCTTGCGAGAAGATGGTTGATACTGGAAAGGCAAAGGTATTTGTAACATTGAGTCTCCGTAAACAGCTTGAAGCATTCCTCTCTGACCCTGAAGTTCAGCTGCATTTCAAGAAGGCACGGAGAACTCCTCTAGATGAAGATATAGTTGCTGATGTTTATGATGGCAAGTTGTGCAAGGAATGTCAAAATCATTGGGGTGAATTTGATGGAAGCTATGTTTGTAACACAGATGGATGCAAGATAGGGAAAAATGCTCAATTAACCATTTACCCTTTCTTCATCCGTTTGAATGAGCTACCTCCACATCTCCGTCAAAAATATGTATTTCTTGCTGGACTTTATTGTGAGAGAGGAGAACCTCACATGCAGGCGTTTCTGGAGCCCATTGTTAAAGAGCTTAATTCTATTGCACGAGATGGAGTGAAATGGTATGACCATGAAGATAAAGTCGAGAGATTGAGCCGATTTAGATTCCACTGCTTTTGTGTGGATGGCAAGGCTCGATACCAAATTTTAAATATGAGTTGTCATTCTTCATTTTATGGTTGTACAACCTGTGATTTTAAAGGCTTGAGAATTGACAACACAATGAGGTATCCTGCTAAGCCCCATGAAGATATCCCTCCATATAGTGACAGAACTCATCAAGATATGCTGAGAGATATGAAACTTGCTTCTCATCTAACACCTGTGAAAGGTCATCATGGATTCACTAACCTTGTTTTGCTTGATGATGTGGACTTGGTAAGACAAGGAGGTTTTGATGATTTACATTTTCTGTATGAGTGTGCCGCTGCCACCAATCTTCAACTAATACTTACTGTAGCCCCGAGAGTCAAAGACAACTCCGGCACCAAGGAGATTTCTCTTGCTGCTGTCGAACGAACAGTAAATGCTAGACTCGCAGGAATTAAAACCCCATCTAAAATATCAAGGAAACCTTGCAACATGGAGATAAAATTAAAAGGCAAGAAGAAAAAGTTGACATTTACTGGAACGGAATACCGTAACTTCTTGATATATTATGGTGTTCCCCTTTTTCAAGATTTGGTAGAAGTTCCTTATTTGGAGCATTTTGGAATGTTGTCTTACATTGCTTTCATTTTGTCACAAGACTCTATTAGTCAAGAAGACCTTGATATTGCTGAAAACTTGATTGATAAGTACCTTGACCTTTTTGACACCTATTATGGCATTGAAAGGACAAGATTAAACTTGCATTCCTTAAAGCATGCTGTTCAGAGTGTCCGAGAGCTGGGTCCTCTTTGGTGTTACACCACATTCAATTTTGAGTCGTGGAATAGCAAACTGCTCAAGGATATAAAATCCCCCAAGTCTCCAATTCTACAAATTATCACAAGACATCTTCTCCACATGCATCTCGAGTTTTCCATCTCAACGGCTCGTGAAGATGTGAGTGATGAAATCAAGGAACAGATATCAACCATCTTAAAGAAGAAGAGGAGGGCCCGAGCTTCACATGTTGAGGAAGGTGTTTATGTTCTGGGCTCTTCCTCATCTCGTCCGCCTAGACAAGATGAAATAGATGCTCTCCTCAGAAAAAATCTTTCTGCAGAGAAAATCTTGTGCTATGGTAAAGTTCTTATAAATGGCACAGAATACCAAACTATTTCTTCAACTACCACAAAAAGTTTGTCAAATGACTCAGTTGTGTTCACCAAACAAAGAGAATTCTTTTCTATTCAAGATGTTGTAACATTTAAGAATTCTAGTGGAAGTAATGTATGTGGCTTATTTGTGAAGCAAAATTTGGTACTCCAACCACCTCCTTTTGAATTTGCTCCGCACATTCAAAAATTACTACCCCGAGAAGAGGACGGGAAGACTTTCATACCGATTGACTCTGTGAGATGCCCTGTTGTCCAAGTACCTGTAAATGACTCAGTGTATCTCATACCAATGCCAAGTGTATTGGACATTGATTAGTGAAAACTTGAAATTCTCGTATTGTTTGTGAATTCCTAATTTTATTTTCTTATTTTAATTATTTTATTTGACCATGATACTTTTACAGTTTAAAACAAATGTATACCGAGTATACCAAGTGTATTCAACATTGCTGAGTTGAAACTTGCCGGCATAGGTTTTGTATTCGCCAGTTCTTATTTTGTAATCATTCAAATAATCTTGGTACTGTGCATCACCAAACTAGTGTGATAAAAAATG